TACTGAGTATAGACATTTACTCATTACTGCATATAAAATGCCAGCAATGAGTGTTATTCACTGAACCCCACCTCAGGGGTGATGGTCATCATCCTCATACGCTTCTCCATTGTAATGGTGCTGTCTTTCCTGGTTAGGATCAAAGTCCACCAGTTGTACCTGATCCATGTCATCAGTCTCTTCTACTTCCTTTCTCTCAGGTAGGAGTTTTTCCAGCAAAGATAGTTTATCAGGAGACAGAAAATTCTCAGGAAAGTTTACCTTAAATTCGATGATTAGGTGCCCCTTTTCATACAGTCTAAGATAAATTGGCATACCTTCATTTAGCACACATTTGATATCTTCATGCTTGACAATCTGACCTGGATGAGAGGTGATGACTATGGTTCGGTTGTCAAGAGTGGATATCGGCTTTTGGAAGCCACACAATGCTCCAACCAGTTGTATATCCATACATATGAAAAGGTCTTCGCTCTGTCTAGTAAAAACAGCATGGTCCTTCTGATCTAAAACTATAATTATATAGCCTGGCTGCAGTCCTGGCTGTTGGTCTCCTTCACCGTGGAATGTTATCTTCTGGCCATCTTTCATGCCTTTGTCAATATGAACTTCTAGAATCTTCTTCTCTTGAACTATCTTCCTTCCATTGCAGCTTTTACATCTATCTTTAGGGCTGATGCGTTCCCCATGGCCCTGGCACTCCATGCACACAGACTGAATTTGCTGGACCATTCCAGGTCCTATCTGATGAATTCGTATTTGCATCCCAGTCCCTCGGCAGTTAGAACAGCATTCTACTGCTCCTTTCTTACCACCGCGGCCTTCACATTTGTCACAAATCACATTCTTTTGCAGAGCTAGTTTTCTTGTTGCACCATTATATAAATCTTCTAATGTTACTGAGAGTTGGTGCAAAATGTTTTTCCCTCTCCTTTCACTCTGCATCCTTCCACCACCTCCAAAAAACATATCAAAGATGTCCATGGGGGAACCAAAACCACCACCTGCTCCACCCTCTTTGATGGCCTTTTCTCCTCCTTTGTCATATAACTGTCTTTTCTTTGCATCAGAGAGCACTTCATAAGCTTGAGAAATCTGTTTAAACTTCTCGCCTTCATTAGGATTCTTATCAGGATGGTACTTCAAAGCCAGTTTCCTGTAAGCTTTTTTCAACTCTTCCTGGGTGGTACTGGGTGGGTTTGACCCCCAAAACATCATAGTAAGTAGCTTCTTTCACCATTTTCTACAGCCGTTGAGCGGGCCGAGGCTGGTGTGGGGGAGCAGGAAGGAGTGCTCGCTGTGCGCAATTCAGGCAGCCACTACTCCTCTGCCTCTCACGAAGTGTTCTGGAAAGTTCTGGTTGTTGTTTTATTATCAATATATTCTATTCTTTTTCTTCCCCTTCTCAGACACATCTAACCAAACCAGGCACCAAAATGCTAACACTCTTTCCTGGAGAGAGAAAGACTAAGATTTCTTTTACCCAAAGAAGTGCTCCACCAGCAGGCATTCGGCAGACCAGCATTACTTCCTTCTTCACCTTGCAGTCAGGTATGGAGACACTTCTTTATTCATGAAGCAATACAATTTTCCATGTTGGAATATATATAAGAAATGATGCTTATCACTTTGGTGACAATTGAAAGAGGTTATATAAAACAAGAAATCACCCCTGTTAAAAAGCAATACAAAAGGGATTCCTTATCTTTTAATTTCATTTTTCTATGAATGTTTTGTCGTTCCCTTGTACATGTTTTGCAAAATACCATTCTAATTCTAATTCTGTTCTGTTCAATCTGCTATTAAATGTTTGTATTCCTTGACAGAGCAATGAGGACACATGTACCTGGGGGTTGGGTGAATTGGGGAATTGACCTGCTGCAGTTCAGTGTATCTTTTGGATTGACCACAATGTATATTCTTTATGAGGCTAATTGAGAACTAACATTTCTGTATGACACTTCTCATATTGCTAAGTGTCGTTGATTCGATTCTGACTCATAGCAACCCCAAATAAGGTTTGTAAGGAGCAGTTGGCCAGTTTGATCTGCTGCCAGAGACACAAGCCAACTTTATATCAGCCTTTCTACACTTCTTACATAAAGGAGCTCTGGTAGCGTAGTGGTTACGAATCGGGCTGTGAACCACAAGGTCGGCAGTTCGAAACTACCAGCTGTTCTGTAGGAAATAGATGAGGCTTTCTGCTCCCGTAAAGATTTACAGCCTCGAAAACCCTGTACAGGGTTGCTATGAGTCATAACGACTCCACGGCACACAACAACAATAACACTTCTCACATTAGTCAAGGTTTGAAGATGCTTTTTTTTTTTTTTTTTTTTTCCTTTTTTTTTAAAGAAAGGCTGATACAAGGTTGGCTTGTGTCTCATCATCCCTCTGGCAGTCCTTTACTTGTATGGGCCTCTTCAGGGAAGCAGTTGTCTCATAGTAGGCAGGGACTTACAGGGCACATCTGTTCAATCCAGTCACCAAATGCTTATACTCTTTCTGGGATAGAAAAAGACTTAAGATTTCTTTTACTCAAAGGTACTCCATCTTTTGGTTAGGGTTCCTGCCAGTGGGAGTTGGGAGTAGTACTTTAGTTCTTGAAAAGATTCCAGAATTGCTTTGCGTAAAAATGTACTTTTCCTCCCTCAAATAAAAACAAAAACCTAAACAGCTTTTGTAGGCCTGATGTGGCTCTGTAGGATAAACACTAGACTGCTAACCACAAGGGTTAACAGTTCAAATGTACCAGCTGCTCCTTGTAAACCCTATACAGGATTTCTGTGAGTTCAGACCAACTGAATGGCACTTAACAGAAACAACAATAACACTTTTTGTTTTAGGGGCAGATTTTTTCCAAACCTTTTTGTATCTCAAAATTTTGGTTCCCTTTATAGTCTATATGCCAAGAAATTTAGAAGATAGGTACTTGGTGAACTGATGGGAAGAGATCCATGTGTGTGCTCTTTCCAAAGAAAGGTCGCCCAATGGAATGTGAAAATCATTAATGTCACATGCAAGTAAAATTTTGCTGAAGATAATTCAAAATAGGTTGCAGCAGTATATCAACAGAGAGCTTCCAGAAATTCAAGTCAGATTCAGAAGAGGACAAGGAATTAGGGCTATCATTGCTGAAGTCAGAAGGATCTTGGCTGAAAGCAGAGAATGCCAGAAAGATGTTTACTTGTGCTTTATTAACTATGCAAAGGCATTCGACTGTGTGGATGTTGACAAACTATGGACAACATTGTGAAGATGTGGTATTCCAGTACACTTAATTTTGCTCAAACAACTTGGATCAAGAGGCAGTGGTTCGAACAGAACAAGAGGATACTGAATGGTTTAAAATCAAGAAAGGTGTGTGGCAGAGTTGTATCTTTTTACCATACTAATTCAATCTGTATGCTAAATAAATAATCAGAGAAGCTGGATTACATGAAGAACATGGTGTCAGGATTAGAGAGGACTCATTAACAACCAGAGATATGCTGATAACACAGCTCTCCTTGTTGGAAGTGATGAAGTGGACTTAAAATACTTACTGATGAAAATCAAAGACTACAGCCTTCAGTATGGATTGCACCTCAATGTAAAGAAAAAAAAAAATCTTCACAACTGGACCCATAAATAACATCATGATAAACAGAGAAAGGAGTCTTGGTGTGGTGCTGCAAGATAAGCACTGAACTACTAATCTCAAGGTTGGTGGTTCACACCCACAAGCTGTTCCTTGGAAACCCTATACAGGGTCACTATGCATCGGAATCGACTCAATGGCACTTAACAACAACAGAGAACAGATTGAAGTTGTCAAAGACTTCATTTTGCTCAGATCCACAATCAGCGCTCAAGGAAGTAGCAGTCGAGAAATCAAATCTCTGGTGCAGAGGACCTCATTTAAAGTGTTAATGAGCAAAGATGTCAGCTTGAAGACTAAGGTGCACCAGACCCAAGCCATGGTATTTTCAATAGCATCATGTGGTGGTGGTTATGTGCCATGGAGTCGGTTTCGACTCATAGCCACCCTGTACAGGATTTCTGAAGCAGTAAATCATTACGGGAGCAGAAAGTCTCATCTTTCTCCCGTGGAACAGCTGGTTTTCAAACTGCTGACTTTGAGGTTTGCAGCCTGATTCGTAACCACTACACTACCAGAGCTCCTTTATGCATGTGAAAATTGGACAGTGAATACGGAAGACTCGAGAAGAATCAGTGCCTTTGAATTATATTGTTGAAGAATATTGAAAGTACCATGGACTGTCAGAAGAAGAAACAAGTCTGTGTTGGAAGAAGTACAGCCAGAATGCTCCTTAGAAGCCAACTAAGATGGGTAAAACTTTGTCTTTTGTTCTTTAGACATATTGTCAGGAGGAACCAGTCCTTGAAGAAAGATGTCATGCTTGGTAAAGTGGAGGGTCAACAAAAAAGAGGAAGACCTTCCTATGAGATGGATTGGCACAGTGGCAGCAGCAAAAAAAAAAAAAAAAAGTAAGAATGGCAGGACCGGGCAGTTTTGTTTTATTGTGCGTAGGGTCACTATGAGTTGGAACTGACTCGACAGCACCTAACAACAATAACAACATACTGAATTCTTAGGCAAAACTGTGAGAACCTTTTCACAAAAATTCCTAAATTTCTACTGGAGAAGGAAAAGAAGATATCTGTAATTTAGCTCAAGAATCTAAGAAAAAGAAGTGGAAACTCCTTCACCCTACTTTAAGACAGATAGGATCCAGTCCATACCTGATAAAATTGATAGTACTTGTTTATTATTGTCCTTCCTACTGGCTGACTTAGCATCCTTATTTGTGTCTTTACTCCTTTTCCTATGAAACGTTTGGGATATGGAGTTGCCTATGTTTTGTTACTGAAAGGTTTCAGAGTTAATGTGTTTGAGACTGTAAAATAATAGTGCATGCTTACTATACTCAAAGGACAATCTCTAGGAGTATATATTTGTCCAGGACCACCATTGAACAGAAGCCACATTAAAAAAAAAACAACTGATAGTGACCTGTATTAAGCTCCATATAGGGAAATCCAGCTGGAAAAGTAGGTTGTAGTCTGATATCATGTCATGTTTGACTCGATTAGGTAGCCAAAGGATACAAATATTCGAATAGGGAAATTGGGAGGGAACTGAGAGATTGAGAACAGAAAGATCCACTAGGAAGTTAGAATCTAAACAAGACCTCAGCAGTAGGTGGTGGTGGTGGTGGTTATGCGCCGTGGAGTCGCTTCTGATTCATAGGAACCCTGTACAGGATTTCCGAGGCTGTAAATCTTTATGGGAGCAGAAAGCCATATCTTTCTCCCGCGGAACTGCTGGTAGTTTCAGCAGTAGGTAGTAACTGATAATGATTTCACAAAAAGCCAACTTAAATTTTTCTATAGAATACTAATAGTTGACTTTTCTTCTCCTAGGAAAGACCAGTGGTGACAACCAGACAAGTGTTTCATCTCGTAGAGAAAGTCAGATCAGCAAAGAGTCTAAGAAAAGTTCAACCCAGCTGGAGCATTTTCTCCAGGGCTTTTGGGAAGACTGTGTGACATCCCCTTTAGCTACTTCGACTCCTGCAGACATCCAGGGTGCTGGACTTTTTCCTTACTCCCTCCAGGAGACTTCTGGTCACCATGGAATAGAAAGCCCATTTTTGCCTGACACCCCAATCTGTGCTGGAGAGAGTAAAACCTCACTGGCTTTTTCCTTCACCCAGGACTTGGAAAGTTCTTGTTTGCTGGACCAAAAGGAGGGAAAGAGAAAGTCTTCTGGAAATAGGAAATGGCTTCATGGATCTAAGAAAAAGAGCTATCAGGATGTTGAGAGATGCATGAAACCTTCTGGGGACAAATGCCATCTGCCCTTGGACAAGACTAAATTTGAAAGGAAGGTGTCTGCCAAAGAAAATGGGCAGTCCCGTCTACTTCAAACTTACAGGGATTCCTGGAGTGGAAAAAACACAGTGTCTGTGAAGCAAAGTCCTTGTCCTTCTGTTGTGTTTTCCTGGGATAGTGAGAGGAGAGACAAGGACTCCTTGAGTCAGCTTTTCACTGAGGATTCTCAGGGCCAGCGGGTTATTGCCCACAATTGGAGAGTTCCTTTCCGAGATGTAACCAATGATTGGAATCTGAGTTTAGGACGGTCTCCTCTAAGTCCTCAGGCTCAGTACCAGGGTAGGCCTGCTCAGTTAAGCCTGCAGCCTGAATTGCTCTTTACTCAGGACTCTGAAGGTAATCAAGTTATCAGGCACCAATTCTCAATGTCCTCATGAAGGGTTTGGCTAGAAAAGTTTACTAATGGCAGAGATGTAGGAAAGGATCTTGGAGCTGGGGGAAGGGGGAGGAGGGAGGCACAGGATGAAACTGTTGGTATTATTGACTATTTTCTTTGAATAAATAAAATAGGGGGTACCACTTTTTCCCTGAGAAAGGTGGCTGGTTTATGCACCAAGAACACAGGGTATGGATGTATACTTGCACTAAGAGGTCCTGGTGTGGTGCTGTAGGTTAGTGCACTGACTGCAAAGACAGTTTGAACCACAGGTCAGTGGTTCAAGCTTACCAGCTGCTCCTCAGAAACCCTATATAGGGTTACTATGAGGTGGAACTGACTCAATGGCGCTTAACAACAACAAAGAGCTTGTTACTGAGCTGGACTTTCCAGATGCCTGACTGGGAGACTTCTGCTGCTGCTTTTACTCTCTGGCGTTTTAATTTTTCTCACTAAAATCTATATACTTGGGACCATTACTTTTGGCACCTTATTGAGTGATTATGCAAATCTTCTTGACCTAGATATGTAGGTGGGAATCAGATAAGATGGTCATTGTTGTTAAGTGCCATTGAATTGGTTCTGACATACAGCGACCCTGCATAGGGCTTTCAGGAGTGGTTGGTCAATTTGAACCCCTGACATTTTTTTTTATTTTTATAGGAATGTCACTGCATTTAAAAATGTATATACTTCTTATTTAAATGTCTCCCCCTGGTGTGCTGTAGATAAGCACTGAATTGCAAACTGCAAAGTTGGTGGTTCAAACCTACCAGCCATTCCTCTGAAGCCCTAAAAAGTCACTGAGTTGAAATTAACTCTATGGTACTTAATAACATGTTGTTAAGTGCCTTTGGAGTTGGAAACCCGGCCAAGAAGCGGCTGGTGAGCTTGAACTGTCGAACCTGCGATTCAAACCAACCTTGCAGTCCAGTGCATTAACCCATTGAGCGCCACACCAGGACTCCTAATAACACTAATCTAATGTGACTATACTTTTCTTTCATCAGATGGGAAGAAACCTACCTTTTGTAAAACTTCAAATAAATGACTTTACAAAGCTGGCTGATGGTAATTAAAACATTACCAATTTTATTTTTTAACAAGTGACTTTTTAATAATACATGTATGCTGTCATTGCCATGGGTCAGAAATGAACACAAGTCTAATCTGACATTTGTTCTTTCTACTCAAGGCATCATCCACCAGGTGGCAGTTTCCCATAATGTAGGGGTGCTATCTAAATGGTTTCAATTGCCTATGGAGGGCAAGCTTGCAAAGAAACTGCTTTAAAGAGTGTAGGGCACAATCATTACAGGAAGGGTGAAGAGACTTAGATAAGTCAGAGAAGACTTCTAAGGAGTAGGACCTTATAAGAGAGGAAACCATGAGCCTGTTTATGAAGATTCATGTAACTTAAAATGAACAGGACTAATGGGTGAACAAGGCAAAATGCATCTCTCTCCAAATCCTTCTTTAATGTCAGATAGTGCTTCAACCCAAACACACACATTATACATAGCGCAGAGAAAAGGACCTGAGGGCATGTGAGTCATGCAGTGTTGTGGTAGGTACAAACCTTGGTTTGGCCCAGCCCAAGGAGCAGTCCAGGCCTAGAAGAAGGGTGGTGTGCTTTGTCCCTCCCCATTTCTCTTTCTAACCAGGCTTGAATGAAAGTCTATGGAAGAGAGTTTTCAATTAGTGGAACTGATGAGGCCCAGGGCCTTGGAGGGTAGATTTGGTTGTGCAGTATTACAAAATATGTGTAAGACAAAAACAGCCCAGGGTCAACTTGGTCCAGCAGCCTGACTCCTGTCTCTAGGTGTTGGACAGGGGAAGAGTGAAGGCGATGGCTGGACATTGGTGTAGGTTTATGATAGAGCAGTCTAAGATCTCTGCCCTGTGGACATGGACATGAACATTTCCAGCCTCCTCCTCAGCCCTGCTTTGTTGCAAGGAAGCAGTTGAGAATGAGCGGTAGCTGGGCACAAAATGTCTATGAGACCAGTTATGGGGTCTACTGCATTGAAGGCAGTCATTGATTTAGGACTTATTTTTACACAGGGGCAAGGAAAAACCAGAAACTTCTATCTCACACTTTAAACTGAGACACTCCAGCCTACTACGCAATTACCTGTAATAAATGTCTTAGCTCAAAACACAGGCCTTATCTTCTGCTAAGGTTTGAAGCATGGGGAACATAAACCAGGTTCTCTCTTTCAGTCCATGCTGTAGTGGCTTGTTGGCAAGACTGTTGCAGATTTCTAACCGAGAGGCAGAAACAGCTGCAGTGAGGAAGGCAGCTATTGAAGGGAATCCAGGAGCATGAGATTGATTTTGCAGAGCTGGATGTTGTCATTGTCCTTTCCTTGTGATATCTTCTTCCTTCAGAGCAAACTTTCTCCTCAGGACCTCAGAGATGAGGACAGCAGGGTCTTCCTCCTTCAGTAAACTCCGGCTCCTGGAGACCCAATAAGAACTGATGTTTACAGAGTACTTAATCCACAGACATTCTCTCAATTTCCTATGAGGGTAGGTACTATTACATTCTCCTTTTGCAGATGAGGAAACTGAAGCACAGAAAGTTTATGCAATTGCCTAAAGTCATTCATTACTCAAGTGGTGAATCCAGAACTCAAAACCAAGGTGGTAGTTCAGTGCCATCTAGTCAGTTCTGACTCACAGCGACTCTGTATAGGGTTTCTGAGAAGCAACTGACTGGTGGGTTTGAACCACCAACTTTGTGGTTAGCAGTTCAGTGCTTATCCTACAGGGTTGTTGTGGTTGTTGCTGTGCGTCGAATTGGTTCCGACCCATAGCAACCCTATATATAGTGTTTCCAAGGAGCAGCAGGTGAGCTTGAACTGCCAACCTTGCAGTTCAAACGGCTTTGCAGTGTGACGCATTAACCCACACAGCCACACCAGAACTCCCTGTTCTAAATCTTATGCTCTCAACTAGAATGGGCAAAGTAAAACGCTATAACCTGTCACAGTTGGCCTCTGGTGGCTAAGCCTCTGCTCTCACCTCTGACTCTATTCTTAGTAACATTTCTCCAGAGAATGTCAGGGAAGTCAGTCAATGACTCTTAGCAGTTGTGACTTACTAGGTCTGATGAAAAAATTCATGCATTCCATTTAATTTTGGACAACTTAGCAATTTTCCTAGATTCAGGCTGATGATTTCGTACTACCCTGTCTCCATCAAAAGAGCAGTTGTTTTTTTTTAATGAAAGGATCTAGAATTTAGAACAAAATCTTCACAACATAAGGCCCCAGGAGGAATAAAACCAACTCCAGACTTGAGGTAGGTTCAAATTGCCTATTAAATGTGGATTCCATGAGAAACAGCTGATTTTTGAGTGAATTAAAATAGATTATCATGAAGACAGTTTACTGGCCATTAAACTAGGTATAAGGGTCAATGACTGGTTATTGAACCTTGAAAGCAAAACTAAGACATGCCTTTCATCTGTCACATTTCTGAGATTGTAAGATTGGGCTACTTTCTCATTCATCCTCATCAATTCAACTCTTCCTAATAAGACAAAAGATCCCAGGATACAAGGGGACAAAGGTTTGCAAGTGAGGGTCTTAGATCTAATCTGGTACAAGAGACAAGAGAAAGTTTAAGAGTCGATCTATAAAATACTGTGACCAAAAGAAAAAGACCCAGGGGAGCCCAGAAGCAGCAGCAGCAGCTGGCGAATACAAAGAACTATGATTTAGTATGACCAACCTGGCTAAGGTCAGAGAAAGAAAGTAAAAGTGAATTTGTAAAGGAACTAGAATGGAAATACTGAAGAGTGTTGACACAATGTGAAGACTGTAGCCAATGTTCTTAAATATTATGTGTAGAAAGTATTGAATGAGAACCTGAATGAGAACCTGTTTTGCTTTGTATACCTTCTCTCTCTCACAATGACACACACACACACACAGACTCCCTCTTTCTTCAAGGTCAGGATCTGAAACATATGAACAAAGATGCCAAGAACCTGCATTTCAACAAGCTCTCTGGTGATACTCACATCTGGAGAGACAATGTTCAAGATGGGTGGTGACTCCTTCAGGCAGGTGCTCTACCACCTTTCTGCCTCATGGGTTTCTCAGTTCCCAAACTCCCTCCCACGAACAGAAACACCTAGAATCCCACTGGGGATTCTAAGTCAGTAAGTTGAGGTATTTTTAACATAGAAACTACCTGTCAGTCTCAAAAGCTTTCTTCTCAAATTCATGAGTTTGCAGGGTTGGTCTGCTTAATAAACCACTGTAATCTAAAACAGAACCCCCAATTTTATGAAATTCTCCCACCACCAAAAAAAGTCCACCAATTTGAGATAAATATATGTCATGCAACCATGACTTTAAGGCTCTGGTAGCGTATTGGTTATGAGTCGGGCTGCTACCCTTAAGGTCAGCAGTTCGAAACTACCAGCCATTCTACAGAAGAAAGATGAGGCTTTCTGATCCATAAAGATTTACAGCCTCAGAAACCCTGTACAGGGTCACTGGGTTGGAACCAACTCCATGGCATGCTACCACCACTACCTCAATATCACTGAGAAGTAAAGGTGCCTGTGAGACAGAGTTGGATTAGATAAACCTTCTTGAAGGATCCCTGCTAATCTAACATTTGATTTGGGGTGACGTAATCCAACAAAGTGTTGCTGTTTACTGAAGATGTGACCCCAGGTACCAGCAGAAGGGTAGCTAGCAAGCTTTGTGTACAATCAATACTGCTACTGAGGCTGTACTGTCTACTAGGCACTGTGTGCATTAGTTTCAAATTCTATTAGATCACTGCCATGGGCAACTAAACAGTAAACATCCCACCAAGCTTCTCATCAAATACTTACAGATCTTGGCTCTGTTTCATCCGGTGAAAGTCCTTCAGGATACCCATCATGTCTGCAAAACTGCTGGCCTTGGACAGAGACATGCAGTCATCCTCTTCAGACGAGCTGCAGGTGGCTTTGTTTTCCGGTTTGCAACATTCAGGGCTGGCAGAACAAAGCAGGGGGACTGATGGAAGCTCAGGGACCTCTACCTCGGTCTCCTCGGTGATGTCACTAATGACAAAGGAAGTCGTAGAGTGGAATGAGGATCCAAAACAAGGTAAGGGAGAAGAGACATTTGAACTTCCTGGAGATAAGAAATCTGGCGTTAATGAAGCCGAAGCTGAAAGAGAAAACAATAGGTATGGATGGACATTGGGACTAGAATATAATAAGCAGTATTTTTTCCCCCATAGCACTGCCTACTTATCATTCACTTCCTGGGCTGACATGACATATCCTGGGAGCTTCCAGGGAGAAGATCTGCCCCTCACAGTAGGCTACAAAGGGACAAGCACTAATGACAGAACCAAGACCTGACTTCTCCATTATAGCAGGGTTAGTACTTTTGATTATGTTCCTTTGAATCCTGCTACCTATGAAGCAGAAGAAATGTTCTGCAGAAAAAAATAATGGTGATGGTCTTCCCAGTTTCCCAAATTTTAATGGGCAGTATTTCTTCAATTTTTAATTTTTTTTCTGATTTTAAAAATGTCTTTTGTATGACAAAAAAAAGCCGAGAAATGTCAAGTGGAAAGGTCAATGTAATGCCTTCATGGAACTTCCATATGTAGAAATGAAACTTCCATATGTGGAGACTTCAGAGAGCACTGATTTGCTTTACCATAGGCTAAGGTTCAGGAACTACTGGTCAATGAGGACCACCCTCCCCCGCCCCCACACACACAAAAGAAAAAAGGGATGGAAGACATATGAGCATCTTGGGAGAAGTCCACCTGTTGGTGTTCCATGCCTTCTAGTCAAGGCAGATTCCCATCAATACCCAGTGGTTTTGCCCTAACTGCAAGCAGAATGGTGGTCTCTGGTAGACAATGGAAGGGAAAATAGGAGCTTAAAAGGGGCACATCTGGCTGATAGGGAAGGGAAACAATTATTTCTCACTGAAAAGGAAAGCTACTAAGGGTACCTTTATGGAAGACAGAAAGGGATGCTGGTTTTTGTGGTCGAGAGGAATCTGCCTAGGGTCATAGGAACCAGGAAGATTTTGCTCCTAACTAAACCATTCAGTCAAAAATGACTGGTGGCAAAAACATCTAAGGGACACTATAAGCCAGCTAGCTAGGTATGAGGGCAACCAGGGTTGTCCACCATTTTCCTTATCCCTATCCTGCCCCAAACCCAGTGGAAAAAGGAACAGCCTGCTGTTTACTCTGGCCTGGTTTAGTGGCTCCTACCTGCATCGCCTGCCACAATCTTGGCAATCTGGCTGCGCAGGTGGCTCAGCTCATCCTGCAGCTCTGTGGTACGGCTTAAAGCGGGCAGGCCTGGTTTCTTCAGGGCCAGGAGCCTTTCCTCGGACCCTCGCAGGTTGGGCACTGAGGCATTGCGCTGCATAACAATCAGAGGGCTGGGCTTCCACGTGTGCCTCAGGGGGCGAGTATCACTCCTGCACCAGGTAAAGACTGATTTTCAGTAAGAGGTAGTTACTATACTGAACCCTTTCTAAAAGTCTTTCATCCTCTCCTATAAGAGTTAACACTGCGTGGCTTCTGCTCCCTCTCTTGAGTCCTGGGACTGCAGACAGCAACACTGTCTCATTCCTATTTTACTCAGGCTCACAAGAACTCTCTGCTGCCTGCTACTTCATCTGGGAAGAAACTTCCTATCCTCCAGCACACTGGTTGTTGCCTCAGTTACCTGACCCGGGCATAGGTCTCTTCTTCATCTGCAGCAATCCAGGCGATGTCAGCCAGGGTAGGAACTGGGGGTACATCCCTCAGACACAGGTCAGAGATGTTGGGTAGGGCCTGTGGGGAAGCAAAAGTCATCAGTAAACATTAACTGACATTGTGATGAGACAAGCAGAGGGACTGTGTAACTTACATAGGACGGGTCAAGGAGGCTTCCTAGAAAGAGAGAAGAGCGTTCCTGATTGGAAAGAGCTTGGATAAGAGGCCAGAAGCAAGAGTTAATAGTATTGCAAACAGTTCAGCATGGTTGGAGCAGAGAAGGTGAGGGGTGGTTGGGAGAGGCTGAAGAGTAACTTAGAAGCATTGATTCTAAGATCAATGACAAGCATTGGAGGTTTTTAAGTAGGTAAGTAAACATTGGACTTGAAGACTAGAAAGATTACTCTGGCTGCTATGTGGAATACGGAAGGGGCCAGTTATCACCCATTCAACTAAAACATGATAGCCTAGAGCAGGTATTGTGGTGTTTTTAAAAAGTTTTACTGGAAAACAGCATCTATTGGTTGATGTACTGTCTATGGCTCCTTTCAAGTTGAACAGACTGACCTGCATTTACTATTTGGTCCTTTATAGAAAATGTTTGCTGACACTGGCCAGTGTTACCTCTTAACAGAAGTGGACACTGTCCAAGACCATCTTGCCTGCTGGTTGCAAGAATATATAGCTGCAACAGCTTGTTACATCACCAAGAAGTTTCTCACAGGCTAACACTTTGCAATCCTTTATAGGTAACTGGGATTAATATAGTTTGTTGCTGTTATGTGCTGTTGAGTCAGTTCTGACTCATAGTGACCCTATGCACAACAGAACAAAATCACTGCATGGTCCTGCGCCATCCTCACAATTGTGGTTTGCTGACACTATGTCAATTCATCTAATTGGGAGTTTTCCACTTTTTTGCTGTCCCTCCACTTTCCCAAGCATGATGTCTTTCTCTAGGGACTGGTCCTTCCTGATAATATGTCCATAGAACAAGAGACATGTCTAGTCATCCTTACTTTTAAGGAGCATTCAGGCTGTACTTGTTCCATGACAGACTTGTTTGTTCTGGCAGCCCATGGTACTTGGCATATTCTTTACCGGCACCGTAGTTCAAATGCATTAATTGTTCTCCAGTCTTATTTACTGTCCAACTTTCACATACATAATAAGCAACTGAAAATACTGTGGCTGTGTCAGGTACACCTGAATCCTCGAACTTCTATCTTTGCTCGTTAACACTTTAAAGTGGTCCTGTGCAGCAGATTTGCCCAATGCAATATGTTGTTTGATTTCTTGATAGCTGCTTCCATGACCACTGATTATGGATCTAAGCAAACTGAAGTCTTTGACAACTTCAAACTTTTCTCCATTTATCATGATGTTATTTCTCGTTCATTTGTGAGGATTTTCATTTCCTTTACATTGAGGTGCAATCCATTCTTAAGGCTTTGATCTTCATTAGTATTTCAAATCCTCTTTGCTTTCAGCAAGCAAAGTTGTGCTATCTGCATATTGTTAAGTGTCATCAAGTTGGTTCTGACTCTTAGCAACCCTGTGTAGGGTTTCCAAGAGCAGCTAGTGAGTTTAAACTGCTGACCTTGTGGTTTAAACAGACCTTGCCGTAACACAGTGCCACAGGTTTTAAATGAGCCTTCCTACAATCTTGATGCCAAGTTCTTCTCATATAATCCAGCTTCTCAAATTATTTGCTCAGCATACAGATTGAATAAGTATGGCACACACCTTTCCTGATTTTAAACCATTCAGTATCCCCTTGTTCTGTTGTTAACGACTGCCTCTTGGTCGTGGTACAGGTTCCCCAAGAGCACAATCAAGTGGTCTGGGATACCCATTATTTGCAATAATGCTTGTCATGATCCATAGTCAAAAGTCTTCACATAGTCAATAAAGCATAAGCAAACATATTTCTAGTGTTTTCTGCTTTCAGCCAAGATTCATCTGACATGAGCAATGATCTCCCTCTTGTTCCACATTCTCTTCTGAATCCGGCTTGAATTTCTGGCTGCTCCCTGCTGATGTACGGCAGCAACCTTTTTTGAATTCAGCAGAATTTTACTTGCATGTGATATTAATGATACTGTTTGATTTTCACATTCCTTTGGGCCACCTTTCTTTGGAATGGAGCTCTTTCAATTGGTTAGCAAGTAGCTTTCTTCCCAATTTCATGATGGATGAGTGAGCACATGCACTGAGGAGTCAATTTACTGAAAGATTTCTGTTTCTAGTCCATCAATTCCTGGAGCCTTGTTTTTCACAATGCCTTCAGTACCAGTTTGTTCTGGTACAGTGACTCTCTTTTGATGTTACCAATGTCACTATTTTACACATGCTGTTAAGTTCAAACTCATAGGGGTTTCTGAAGTGGTAAATCTTTGTGGGAGCAGAAAGTCTCTTTTTTCCTTAGAGCAGCTGGTGGCTCACACTGTAGTCCAGTGTTTATCGTACAGAGCTACCTACCCTTCCATTTTGCTCAAAGAATCAATCCTTCAGTACTACAATTTGAGACTTGAATGTTTTCTTCTTTTTTTTTCAGCTTGAGAAATGCTAAGCGTATTCTTCCCTTTTGGTTTTCTAATACTAGGTTTTTGCACATTTCATTTTAATATTTGACTTTGTGTTCTCACACTGCCCTTTTAAATTTTCTGTTCAACTCTTGTACTTCATCTTCCTTCCAGTCACTAGCTTGTTTACACTCTAGAGCAAGTTTCATAGTCTCCTCTGACAGCCACTCTGATCTTTTCTCTGTCTTTATAATGACCACTGCCTTCTTCCTGTATGATGTTCTTGATGTTATCCCACAACTATCTGGTCTTCGATAATTAGGGTCTAATGCATCAAATCTGTTCTTGAGATGGTCTCTAAATTCAGGTGAGATATATAGTTAAGGTTCTCATGAACTTACTTTATCTTAAGCTTCAGCCTGAATTTGCATATGAGCAGTTGATGGTCTGTTCCAGAGTCAGACCCTGGCTTGTTCTGGCTGACGATACAGCGTTTTTTCACTTCTCTTCCCACAGAGGTAGTCAACTTGATTCCTGTGTATTCTACCACGTGAGATCCAGGTATATGTTATTGTTAGGTGCCATCAAGTCGGCACCAACTCATAGCGACCCTCTATGCACAGCAGACCGAAACACTGCCTGATCCTGGGCCAACCTCACTACCGCTGCCACAGTTGAGTCCACAGATGCTGCCACCTGGCCAATCCATATTGTTGGGAGTCTTCCTCTTTTTCTCTGACCCTCCACCTTACCAAACATGATATCCTTCTCCAGCGCCTGGTCCCTCCTGACAGTATGTATGAAGTATGAGACACAAAGTCTGGCCGTCTTGGCCTCCAAGAAGCACTCTGCATTTCTTCCAAAACAGATCTACTGGTTCTTTGGCAGCCCATGGCACTTTCAATTCTCCTCCAACACCATAACTCAAAAGCATCAATTCTTCTACGGTCTTCATTATTCACTGTCCAGCTTTCGCATGCATACGAGGTTATTGAAAATACCATGGCTTGGGTCAGGCGCACCTTAGTCTTCAACTCACATCTTTGCTCTTCAACACTTTAAAAAGGTCTTGTGCAGCAGATTTGCCTAATGCAATACCCATACGTCGTTTGATTTCTTGACTGCTGCTTCCGTGAGTGTTGATAGTTGATCCAAGAAGAGTGAAGTCCTTGACAACTTCAATTTTTTCTCCATCGATAAGAATGTTTATTGGTCCAGTGGTGAGGATTGAGATGTAATCCATACCTAAGGCTCTGGTCTTTGATCAGTAAATGAAAGTGAAGTCCTCTTCACTTTCAGCAAGCAAGCATATTGCAGGTTGTTAATGAGTCTTCCGCCAATCCTAAAGCCACATTTTTCTTCATAGAACCCAGCTTCTTGGATTATTCGCTCAGCATACAGGCTGAATAAGTATGGTGGAAGAATACAACCTTGTCACACACCTTTCTTAATTTTAAACCTTTCATTTGTTCTGTTCGAACAACTGCCTCTTGGTCCAGGTACAGATTCCTCATGAGCACAATTAAGTGTTCCAGAATACTCATACTTTGCAATGTTGTCCATAGCTTGTCATGATCCTCACAATCAAAAGTCTTTGTGTAGTCAATAAAGCAAAGGTAAACATGTTTCTGATATTCTCTGCTTTCAGCCAAGATCCATCAGACATCAGCAATGATATCCCTCGTTTCACTGCCTCATCTTAATCCAGCTTGAACCTCTGGAAGTTCTCTGTCAATTTATGATTGTAGCCGTTTCTGTTTTAACCTTTAGTAAAACTTTACTCGCATGGGATATCAAAGACATTGTCCGATGATTTCCGCATTCCGTTGGGTCACCTTTTTTGGAATGGGTACAAATACGGATCTCTTCCAATCAGTGGGCCAGAGAGTTGTCTTCCAAATTTCTTGGCAGAGATGAGTGAGTGCTTCCTGTGCTGCCTCACTTACTTGAAAGATTTCCATTTTTATTCCATCAATTCCTTCAATGCACCTTGGACTTCCTCCTTTAGTATCAGTATCCAGGTATATAGTTGACTTTTATGTTATTGAAAAAAAGGGTACTTTCAATGAATAAGTAATTGGTCTTACAAAATTCTATTATGCTATCTCCAGCATAATTTCTATCACCAAGGTCATATTTTCCAACTACTGATCCTTCCTGTTTGTTTCACTGTCGTGTTCCAATGCATCTTGATTGCATGTGTGATCAATTTCAAACTGAAGCAGTCGGTAAAACATTTCAATTTCACCATTACTGGTTCATTGATTGTTGAGTAAACATTTGAGGCATATAAATATTCTAAGGAGCTCTGGTAGCATAATGGTTATGAGTCGGGCTGCTAACCTCAAAAGTTGGCAGTTCAAAACTACCAGCTTTTCCGTGGGAGAAAGATGAGGCTTTCTGCTCCAGTAAAGATTTGCAGCCTCAGAAACCCTGTGCAGGGTCACTATGAGTCAGAACTGACTCCAAGGTACTTAACAACAACCAAACATTATCCTTTCACAGCATTGTATTTCAATATAGATCTTGAAATGTTCTGTTTGAGTATCAAGATGACACCATTCCTCTTTAATTTTCTGTTCCCAGCAAAGTAAACCATATGATTGTCAGATTAAAAATGGCCAATACCACTCGACTTAAGTATTCCATTTCATTTTTGACAACTTACAGTTTGCCTAGATTTATATATGATGCATTCCATGTTCTGATTATTAATGGATGTTTGCAGCTGTTTCTTCTCATTTTTGTTGTGCTCTATCAGCAAATGAAGGTCCTGAAAGTTTTAACTCCATCCACATCAAGGTAAATTCTACTTTGAAGGAGGCAGCTCTTCCTCGGGTGTATTTTGAGTGCCTTCCATCTTGAGGGGCTCATCTTTCAGCATTACATCAGAGTGTTCTTCTGCTACTCATAAAGTGTTCAAAGGCTAACCATTCAGAAGTGACCTGCCTGTCCTCCCTAGTCTGTCTTAGTCTAGAAGCTCAGCTAAAACTTGTCTATCATGGGGGACCTTACTGGTATTTAAAATACCAGTGGCATAACTTCCAGTATCACAACAACATACAAGCCACAACAGTACAATAAACTGACAGAGAAATGGTGGTGTGTAGAATATTGTTACAGCAATGGTAATTGCTAGACAAAAAAATCTAGATAATCTACTTATTAAACAAGTTTGAGTAAATAAAATATAATAATGATTTAAACAGAAAGGAAGCGTGATAGGATTTCTAAAAATACCCTTTAACCCAAATTAACAAGGGATCAGAGAAGTTAAGTAAGTATCACACTATGTTAAATGAAAAGTCTGGAGGATTCAATTATATGCTCTAGCTTTCTTTCTCCATTATCACTTAAAATAATTTAACAGTTTTATATGGTTAAACTTAGAAAATAAAAAACGACAGCAAAATTCCCTTAAATAATATTTAAAGCAATTCATTTCACAATTGAAATCAAGGGTACTTTCTCAAACGCATACAAGTTAAATTCAGATGTTTCTGCTCTAACTTGGTAGGTAGATCAGAGACTGATGTCGTTAGGTTCCATCGAGTTGGCTCTGACTCATAGCAACCCTATGTACAACAGAGCAAAATGCTGCCCAGTCCTAATACCATCCTTACAATTTAGGAGCCCACTGTTGCAACCACTGTAAATCCACCTCGTTGGAAAGCTTCCTCTTTTTCATGCTTAGAAAAAGTGAGGTGACTCTAACCTTACCAAACATGATGTCCTTTTCCAGGGCCTGGTGCCTCCTGAAGTATGTGATTACATCTTGCCACCTTTGCTTCTAAGACACATTCTGGCTACTTCTTCTGAGACAAATTTGTTTCTCCTTTTGGCAGTCCATGGTACTTTCAATATTCTTTGCCAACACTGTAATTCAAATACATCAATTCTTCAGACTTCCTTATTCATTGTCCAGCTTTCACATGCATATGAGGCTATTAAAATTTTTCATTTTTCAAGTATGCTTTGGTAAGGCATACTTTAGTCCTCAAATTGACATCTTTGCTCTTTAACACTTTAAAGCTGTCTTCTGTAACAGATCTGCCCAGTGTAATGCCCTTGTTTGATTTCTTGACTGCTGCTTCCATGAGCACTGAATGTGGACCCAAGTAACAGATTAACAACTTAAATCTTTCCTGTTTATCGTGATGTTGTTTATTGGCCCTGTTAGGATTTTAGTTTTCTTTACGTTGAATTTTAATCCATACTGAAGGCTGTAGTCTTTGATTTTCCTCAGAAAATGACAAGGCTGTGACATCTGCATAATGGATTGTTAATGAGTCTACCTCCAGTCCTGATGCCACGTTCTTCACATAGTCCAGCTTCTTGGTTTGCTCAGCACAGACTGAATAAATATGGTGAAAGTATACAACCCTTACACACACCTGGGGATTTCAAACCACTCAGTATCTACTTGTCTACTTGTTCTATTCTAAAAACTACCTCTTAGTCTAAGTACAGGTTCTGCATGAACACAGTTAGGTGTTCTGGAATTCCATACTTTACAATGTTATCCACACAGCTGAATGCATAGTCTAGAAAACACAAACAGCTTTCTGGTATACTGTGCTTTCAGCCAGTATCTATCTAATGTCAGCAATGATACCCCTTGTTCCATGTCTTCTCTTAAATCCAGCTTGATTTTCCAGCAGCTTCCTGTCAATGTGCTGCTGCAATCATTTAAAAATTATCTCCAGCAAAATTTTACCTGCATAATATTAATGATGTTGTATAATTTTTGTATTCTGTAGGTAGGATCACCTTTCTTTGTAAGGAACTCTTCCAGTCTTTTTGGTCTTCCAAATTTCTTGGCATAGACTAATGAATGCTTCTAGCACTACAACAGTTTGTTGAAACATTTCAATTGCTAATCTATCAGTTCTAGGAGCTGTCTTTTGCTAAAAGCCTTCAGGGCACCTTAAACTTTTTCCTTCAGTACCATCATGATCATCAACCAATTCTTTTTGGTACAGTGTTTCTGTGTGTTCTTATCTTCTTTTGATGCATCATTCAATAGTTTGCCTATAGAATCCTTCAGTATTATAACCAGAGAATTGGCTTTTTCAGTTCTTTCAGCTTAAAATACGCTGGTTTTCTAACCCCAAGTCTTTGCATATTTCATTATAATACTTTGTCTTCTTGAGCTGCTCTTTGAAATTTTCTGATTTGTCCTTTGCAGGGATTGAGATTTCTTTTAGATAGGGTATCTGGGACTTCCAAGAGATAACTGACACTTCAAGGTCACACAGAGGACATCTATAGATCCAAGAGGTGCTGCTAAAATAGGCTACTGAGGGAAGCTTTCACTTGCTTTCCTGGATCGGTTCGGAGCACTCCTTTATCTTTGGCAATTGAATGAGTTAGTGCATATACAGTGCTCAGAATGCATGCCTGGCACCTAGTATGTGATCAGTAGAACAGCCAGTATTACTAAGGCTACTTACACATGCTCCTGCTCTATGGGGCCTCTGACCTGAACTGGCCAAAAGACTGGACAGGTTATAGCAGGTGAGGGGCACCCTCCATGGACTCAGTCACTCTCTCCAGCTGGCCTTCTCTTTGATTCTGAGATAGCTCAGAACTGTTTAGGCAATTCTGGAAAGCTGGCAATCTGTGTCATGGGACACTCCCTAACCCACATATATTCAACCCCATTCCTGCCTTTAATACCAACCCTGGCAGCACTTCTAATTCTAGCTCCTAAAACTTCCCAGTTTGGCATCCATATAGAAACTTGGCTCTTTCATGTTTCCTCTGTCCCTTCATGCAGATAGTCCTGTCTTCTCTGTGTAGGGAGAAATTAGTATTTCTTTTGTGGCTCAACTCCCCAAGTGCACAAAAGTTCCCAGTCTGGAGCAGGTCTTAGTGGGAGGGAGCTGGGCCTAATAAATGTAAACTTTCCATTGCCAAGTGGTTCTGAGAGACCTGAACCAGGTAGGCCTGGCTGCTGCAGAGTGATTGCTAAAGGCACCCCAGACACAGAGCTAAGTTTGAAGGAACCCAACAAAGAATGGTTAGACTTGGTGTCAGAAAGAGGAGGCTAGGGAGTAAGTGGCTGGTAAAGAACATCAGAGCTCAACCAGTCTCATAATTCACGCACTAAGTGTTCCATGCTGGCACATGCCACGGTTGTAGGTGAAAACCTCAGGGCACAGGCATAACTGGTCTAAAGATCTAATCAAGATCAAGTAGTCCAACAGAACTTGTGAACATCAGCCACCATGATGACTCTGAAACCAGAAGAACAACTACCAACTGCTCTGAAAGGAATCACCTAAGAAGGTCCCAGGTAGAAGGCGAGACCATGTGGAACAACAAAAAAAAAGTCTTTTGTTTTTTTTAAAAAAAAGACAGCTTACTATTAGAAAGACTGATGGAATCTGAGACTATGACCCTCAACCACCCTTCAGGTCTGAACAGAAGCCATCCTCATGGCCCAGTTTTCAGCCAAGCAGTAGATAGATATACAGGGTGGACAACAACACTAGTCAGGTATGCTCACCATGGAATGGTCAACCACTCAAGATCAAAAGAGCAACATTTACCTAAGGACGAAGTGTGGAAGGGAAATAACCATAGGAAGTTGGATAGCTTATTACCTGAAGGGAATTACAATCATTGAGATGAATCAAAGTATATGATTTATTGAATGCAAAACTGATGATTCTCTGTAAACCTTCACTCAATTCACGTAAATTTCAAGAAAAAAAAAAAAAAGATCTGGTTCAGGGTGTCTGGGCCCGCTGTAATGACTGTGATTTCTGGAGTTTCATTTAGCAGAGGAAGCTGAGATACTAATTATTACTTTATGGGAAAATTGGCTGTTGTGGTTATAGGTCTGTATGCAATCAAGAAGACACAGTGACCAGGATCCATTATAAACACTCAGAGCGTCACTGTCCTCCCAACCTTGACTCTTCCAGTGTACTCACCTCAAAGGATGCCCGGGGGCATGGCTTCAGGGGCAGGTTGGTTCCAATTCTTCTCACAACACTGCGAGCAGCCCCATGAGGCTTATTTTGCCAGATTGGGATGGTCTAGAGTAGAGAAAGGCAGAAATAGCAACAACCAACAACCTCAGAGACAGCAAGTCCAACTACTGTCCCAGCTCCCATTTCTCTTGTTGTTGTTGTTAAGTGCCGTCGAGTCGGGTCCGACCCATAGCGACCCTGTACAGGGTTTCCGAGGGTGTAAATCTTTACGGGAGTAGAAAGCCTCATCTTTCTCCTGCGGAGCGGCTGGTAGTTTCAAACCACTTACCTTAAGGTTCACAGCCCGATTCGTAACCACTACGCTACCAGAGCTCCATTTCTCTTAGGGAGAATGAATTCCTCAATCCCAGGGACAGGAAACCCTCCAGAAGTACATAAATTGTCAATTATGAGAGCAAGTTCTCTTGTTGCCAACCTCAACTTGACCCATTGCACAGCCACTGTTAAAAGGCTCCAGTGGAAAGGTGATAAATTAGCTGAGTATAGGGGATATTCAGGGTCCCTCCCCCCCACTCCCTCTGTATAGACAAGCAGAAATAGACTGATTCCAACCTAAGGGAGGGAACGGAGGGGTCTTTCTCCAATTCTAGGCATTCAAGGGGAAAGGAGTAGGTAACCTGAATCTCCCTCCTAACACAGTACTTCAACAGGCCCAGTGCTCAGCCTTCCCCAGCACACCCCGCCCCTGGGGATGCCCCTTACCACATTGGCTTCCATCTCTGACACTGCAACCAGCTCCTGCATATAAAGGACAGGGCAGCTCGGGGAGGTTGGAGACGTGACTCCTTCATATCAGGCCATCTTGAGGAACACCCTTCCTGTGAAACAACCCCCACAGTGAGCACTCAATGACCAGCACACAAGCCCTACTAAAGTTCAGCACAGACAACAGTGCTTTACTGAGGTTTCACAGGGTGAGAAAACCAATCTAAGAGGTTGTTCTTGCCCAGTAATGGCTTCTCCAAACTTAGACTTAGCTTGACCAACCCTGGGAGCCTTCTAGGACCCTTAGGTTTCCTAAGGCATGATTTGATGTAAGCAGCATCTCTCGGTAGCTACAAAGCTTGAGAAACACAAATTGTAGGTACCACTGACCCAGCATTCACTTTTTTTTGTTTGTTTTTATTGGGAATTGAGTGAAAGTTTACAGGGCATATCATCAATTTTACATTCAACAAATCATACATATACTTTGTTTCATTTAATGATTATAATCCCCTCCATGGACCAAGAGGCAGTTGTTTGAACAGAACATGGGAACACTTAATGGTTTAAAATTAAGAAAGATGTGCAACAGGGTTGTATTCTTTCACACTTATTCAACCTGTATGCTGAGCAAATAATCCAAGAAGCTGGGTTATGTGAAGAAAAAACGTGGCATCAGGGTTGGAGGAAGACTCGTTAACAACCTGAGATATGCAGATGTTACAACCTTGCTTGCTGAAAGTGAAGAAGACTTAATATTTACTGATGAAGATCAAAGACCACAGTCTTCAGTATGGATTGCATCACAATGTAAAGAAAACAAAAATCCTCACCACTGGACCAATAACTTTTTTTTTTTTTTTTTGCCTTCCAAAAATTTTTGCCTTCCAAAAATGCCTTTTAATGTGAAGCCTGTATACATTAAACCAAATTCAATGTACTGTTCTAGATTTTGCTATTGTGAGGAAATTGTTATTTCATTTATATCTACATTTGACGCAGTAAATGTTAACACAAACCATACCCTCATGTCCTACTTGTTGGAACCACTTAATAAGATTCCAAGGACAGAAAATTCTGTACAAAATCTCACTTACATATCAGTAGATATCTACTAATTAGAAATAGCTAAAGTAGACCAAATACAAATGGATAGAAATTGAAGTACAATAAATTAGAACTGCATGGAGAGAGAACCCTTTAATACATGCCATAATGTTTATTAAATCTTACTGCATGATTTGATAACACAAATGCAGGTAACATGTTTCAGTTAGCTTCTAGGTAACTTGTATAGAGATGAGGAAGAGGAAGATAATTATTCCCAGGTCTGTCAGTGAGATAAACAACATTTTTATCAACAGAGAAAAGACTGAAGTTGTCAAGGACTTCATCCTTGTCGATCAACTATCAACACTCATGGAAGCAGCAGTCAAGAGATCAGACGACATATTGCATTAGGCAAATCTGCTGCCCAAGACCTTTTTAAAGTGTTGAAGAGCAAAGATGTCAGCTTGAGGACTAAGGTGTGCACGACCCAAACCATGGTATTTTCAGTAACCTCATATGTATGCGAAAGCTGGACAGTGAATAAGGAAGACCGTAGAAGAATTGATGCTTTGGAGTTATGGTGGTGGAGGAGAATATTGAAAGTGCCATGGGCTGCCAAAAGAACCAACAGATCTGTGTTGGAAGAAGTGCAGCCAGTGCTTCTTGGAGGCCAGGATGGCCAAACTTCGTGTCTCATACTTCAGACATACTGTCTGGAGGGACAAGTCACTGGAGAAGGATATCATGTTTGGTAAGTTGGAGGGTCAGAGAAAAAGAGGAAGACCCCCAGTGAGTTGGATTGGCCAAGTGGCAGCATAGATGGCCTCAAGCATGGCAACATTAGTGAGGTTGGCGCAGGATTGGGCAGTGTTTTGTTCTGCTGTGCATAAGTTCGTTATGAGTCGGTACAAACTCGATGGCACCTAACAACAACAACAATGTACCGTCAGCTAACAATATTTCTCTTACTCATTTTAGCTTTTTTTTTTTCTTTTAACCACTCAGGTATATATACTAATTTGCAGCACCAAAGGGCACATTCTGCAAGTCTGCCTCCTGGGCCGCCAGCTCTCAGTCCCTCTCTTTCCATGAATCTAGAGGCCACAGCTGCTCCCTCTCTCCATGTCCCCATCTCTGCTTCCATCTCTGGTGTGGCTGCTTCTCTAGATAGGGTCCCGCATTCCACTTGTGCTCTTCTCCCTTGAGGTCCTACAGTCCTCTGTTTGTGGACTGTAAGATTAACTACTCCCCAGTTTTTGTTACTTCTACCTTTACAATTGTCACAGTTGCAATCAATCATGATAACCATTACTCACTATTGAATCATAAGAATCTTATCACCATCTCTTCTCACCAGACCCACCAAGACAAGATGAAAACTATTCAGTGGGGGACTCTATCTTCCCCCACACACTCTGAACCTAAACTCCCTCTTGAAACCTTGTAAGCCAGTCACTTCATTATCGCTCTCTCATTTTAGGTTGCCAATGTCTAAGTTGCCTGTCCCTATCTACCCTATATATAGAAGGGATAGCATTGATACTTGATGTGAAGACTCCTTCCCTCTCTGTTGGTATTTTGAGCTACTACCTCCATGAGTATACGTCAAGTTCATCAAATTGTAGCAATTTACCCTTGCTTTCTTTATCAAAAAAAAATTTTTTTTTAAATCTTCCTCTAGTGAAGTTCTGATTATCAAGCCATTGAAGCTAGGTTGAATGGGTACTATGTGCAAGTTTGGGTGTTCTTGTGCATCTCCACCTCACTTCATATCAGCTGGATGCTTCACTCTTAGCTCTAGCTCTCTGTAGCTATGCCCTTGTCCATGGGCTCAGGTGTCCCCGGGTCTCATCATACTTTGGACCAACCAGCCCTTCCTCTTCTCTCTCACATCTCCAGTCAATGTGAGTCTATGGAACATGGTTGAACTCAGCCCATTGCTAGCAGTCACTCTTGAAGCATAAAAAACCTGACCACGCCACCACACCCAACATGCTGGTCCCCCACGAGGGTGAGAGGCAAGACAGAGAACAGGAGAGCGAATGTCAGACTCAGTCTACTAGGCTACATGGAGAAGAGCCCAAAATGTTTATCTGGGCCCAGCCACCTACTGACTGGCTTCATTGACAAGTCATTTAACCTTTCTGAACACTGGCTTGTCCATCAGTAAAAAAGCCTTTCAATGGATCAACCCTCTGTAAGAATTTGCATTTCCACCCTCAGATCTACAGAATTAGAATCTACATTTTAACAAGATTCCCAAGAATTACCTTTAGGTCTGTAAGAATTACTTAGGATTTTGTTAAATTGTATATTCCGATTCAGTATATTGGGTCAAACTGCAGTGAATGGGTTTGAAGTCTTGGTAAAAAGGGAGTTAAGAACAGCTACCATAACAGATTACCTTGAGGGTTAATCAATGATATAGATTTTTAAGTGTTTAATGGAGTCCTGGTGTGGCACTGTGGGTTAATGTGATGGACTGCAAGGTTGGTGGTTCAAGTTCACCAGCTACTCCTGGGAAACCCTATACAAGGTAGCTATGAGTTGGAACCACCAACTCCAAGGCACTTAACAACAATGAACTGTTAAAACATGACAAAGATACATGGGGTCACTACTGACTGACCTCTTCACAGGTGCCCTTCATGGTGAGCACATGTAATCAATGAGTTCATTCATTCACTTGTTCATTAAACATCAATGATATTAGCCTTTGTGCTAGGCACTGCAGGGGCTATGGAATACTAAGACATTGTGTACTCAAGGAATTCACATTTTAGCAGGAGAAGAGGCTGAATAAATTTGCCTAATAGAGTCAGGGCTGCATTCTTTCACCATACTTATTAATTTAATCTCTATGATGAGGACATAATGCAAGAAGCATTAACAACCTGCGATAAGCAGATGATACAACCTTGCTTGCGTGAAAGAGAAGAGGTTTTAAAATAGTGATGATCACAGACGACAGCCTTCGGTATAGGTTGTACTTTAATGTAAAGAAAACAAAAAGCCTCACCACTGGAGTAATAAATAAATAAAATAAATAAATAAATAAATAGAAGATTGAAGCTGTCAAAGACTTCATTTTGCTTGGACTCACCATTAACGCTCTTGGAAACAGTAGTTAAGAAATCAAATGATGGGTTACATTAGGCAAATCTGTTGCGTAAGACCTTTAAAGTGTTGAAGAGCAAAGATACCAGTTTGAGGACTAAAGTTTGCCTAACCCAAGCCATGGTATTTTCAGTAGCCTCATATGCATGTGAAAGTTGGACAGTGAATAAGAAAGACCACAGAAGAATTGATGTATTTGAGTTATGGTGTTGGAGAAGAATATTAAAGGTACCATGGACTGCCAGAAGAACAAATCTGTATTGGAAGAAGTATAACTAGAATGTTCCTTAGAAGCCAAGGTGATTGACTTCATCTCTAATACTTCAGATATATACGAAGGGACCAGTCCCTGGAGAAGGGCATAATGTTTGGTAACGTGAAAGCACAGCAAAAAAGAAGGAGATCCCCAACAAGATGGATTAGCACAGTGACAGCAGTAAAAGGCTCAAGTGTAACAGCAATTGTGAAGATGGTGCAGGACCACCACATCAGGACTGTGAACAAACCCATCACCCGCTCCTCGGAAACCCTATCCTCATAGGGTCACTATGAGTCGAAATTGACTTGATGGCATTTAACAATGGAGGTTTGAACCAACCTGTGGTGCTGTAGGATAAGCACTTAATGGGAAGGTTGGTTTGGACTGCAAGGTTGGCGGCTCAAACTCACCAGCCACTCCTTGGAAACCCTATGAGTTGAAACCAACTCCACAGCACTTAACAAGAGACACCTTAGAAGAAAGGCCTAGTGATCTGCTTTGAAAGGTTACAGACTTAAAATCCCTATGAAGTGTACTTCTATTCTGCACACATGGGGTTACCATAAATCAGAATTAACTGATAGTAACTGTTTTCTTGTTGCCAGTTCAAACTCCCCAGCTGCTCCTCGGAAACCCTATACAGAGTTGCTATGGGTCAGAAATGACTCGACGGCACTTAACAACTATTTTCTTAAGAGAGTCATACTAGGCAGGCGAGTTCGGCCCTACGGTCCCACGGCCCCAGAGGTGTACAAGGGGTTGTTATTAAGTGCTGTCAAGTTGGTTCCAACCCATAGCAACCCTGTATAGGATAGGATGGCAGAAAAGCAGTAGCAAAAGCAAAGATCCAAGGCAGGAAGGTGAAGGATCTGTAGAGCAGAGCTGAGCAGAGGATAAGGCTGTCAAGGTAAACTGGGGGTTGGGTCATGAGGGCTGGGAATGCTATTTGAGAGATCAGTCACTAGGGTGCCTGGGTAGGCTGTGAAGACGAGCCATCCCTCAGAGGGTTTCTTTCTCACCTAGGAGAGGAGGTGTCAAGCATTTGATGATGTAGATGAAGAAAGGAAATGAGAGTGGAAGGGACGTAGTGGTTACGAATCGGGCTGCGAACCTTAAGGTCAGCGGTTCGAAACTACCAGCTGCTCCGCGGGAGAAAGATGAGGCTTTCTACTCCCGTAAAGATTTACACCCTCGGAAACCCTATACAGGGTCGCTATGGGTCGGAACCGACTCGATGGCACATAACAACAACAACAACAACTCAGTGGTCATGCTAGTTAGAAACGCCTGATTGCCTGGTCCAGCTTTTACTTCTCACCTTTGTTGGCGTCTTTTATCAAAGTGCCTCTGTGAACCATGCTCTATGCTGAATGCAAGTGCCTGCAGGAAGCTCCATGTCTCACTGCTTTGCCCCTTACTCCTGACCACCGCTTCCTCCCAGATCTTACCTCCAAAGAGGTAACCCACTGCTGATCAGGTTACTGCTATGTTCAAAACGCCCTGACATAGGACTCTGGGCAGGATGAGCTCCGGACTCCTGGGCATAACTCGCAGCGCATCGGCAACCAGTCCCGTCTCATCTTTCTCCCCGTCTCCACACCGAACTCACCGGAGCCGGCCCAGCCTGACGTCACCTGACCCTGCAGTTCCCGGCTCGCAGCCCGTCCGGCCGCCCGCCCGCTGCCTCAGCCCTGCCGGCCGCCTTTCAGGGTGGGACCCCGCGGGAGCCTCGTCCACACTGCTGTCTCTGTTCGAAACGTCAGTCTCCTTTCACTTCATGTTCAGTTCAAGCAGCACGTCCCAAGGCACCATTCCGATTCCCGCACACTAGTAATTAGCTAACTGCTGCATGTCAGGATAGGGACTCCCGCAGCCCACCGCACAAACATTCAGAGATGTTTGGTGGATGGACGAACCAAAGCACCAACCTAGCCTTGAAGCCCTGCAGCGATCGACGGCCACACGGCTGGGTCGCAGTACCCCTGCGCTGCCCCAGCCCCACAGTAGGCGGTTGTTATTCCGTCTCCACACCGGCTCCCTCGGGGCACTGGGCGCACCGCCAGAGCTGGGCCCGTCGCATCACCCTTGGGTGCCGGCGCCGCACGGAGAGCGCTGTGTTCCAGGAAACTTTGCCGAGCGGACCGGCGATTGGCGACCTGCGCCGACTGTCACCCGCGAGGGCCTCAAGGAGCTGCGCTGGGAGGGAAAGCAGCTGCGGGGCGCCGGTCCAGGGCACGCCTCCCCTCCTCCGCGGCGGCTCCACGCGACCCAGGCCAAGGTCGGCCAAACTCCCGCCGACCGCCCGAACGGCCCTTGGACCCACAGGCCCGGGACTCCCGGGCCAAGCTAGGTCAGAAGAGGCGCAGTTCGTCTGGGAGCGCAGCCGCACCGAGGAGCCACCTGGGCTAGCCCGACCACCGTTGGCTGGGTGACTGGAGGCAACAACTAACCCGGGCCAGCTGCTTCCCTTCCTGGCAAATGAGGAGGCCAACACCGGCTACCGCGAGAACTCGAGCGGGAACAAGAGCCGCGGGCTCCGCACAGCGCCTAGCCCAGGGACCTAGTATATGGCCTGATCGGAAGGCTGCGTTCCCACTTCGGGAGTGACTCACGCACCTTTCCTCACCTCAATCCTCGTCCCAGGACTTACTCACCTTACGGCCCCTCCTACCAGAGCGGGTCGCCCAACCTCTCAGCCTTCACTTCCGCTGACCCGCCCACCCCGGAAGCGATTATTTGCGGCTGCGCATTCCGTAGTGCCCCAGCACGCCTCAGGGGCGGGGTGAGCACTCCCTCAGCTTGGGCGGTCGTGGGTGACTTGTTATGTGCCCTGGAGTAGGTTCCGACTCAGCGACCCGGTACAGGGTTTCCGAGGCTGTAAATCTTTAGGGAACAGAAAACCTCATCTTTCTCCCGCAGAACAGCTGGTAGTTACGAACTACTGACCTTGCGGCTCGCAACCGGATTCGGATTCGTAATCACTACGCTACCAGAGCTCCTTATTGTTAGGTGCCATCAAGTCAGTATCGACTCATAGAGACCCCATGCACAGCAGAACGAAACACTGTCCGATCCTGGGTCAACCTCACTACTGTTGCCACGTTTGAGTCCATCGATTGCCACTTGGCCAATCCATCTCATTGGGGGTCTTCCTCTTTTTCTCTGACCCGCCACCATACCAAACATGATATCCTTCTCCAGCGACTGGTTACTCCTGACAATATGTCCGAAGTATGAGACATGAACTTTGACCATCTTGGTCTCCAAGGAGCGCTCTGGCTGCACTTATTCCAAAATGGATCTACTGGTTCTTTTGGCAGCCCATGGCACTTTCAATATTCTCCCAACACCATAACTCCAAAGCATCAATTCTTCTACGGTCTTCCTTATTCACTGTCCAGCTTTTGCATGCATATGAGGTTACTGAAAATACCATGGCTTTGGATCATGAGCACCTTAGTCCTCAAGCTGACATCTTTGCTTTTCAACACTTTAAAAAGGTCTTGTGCAGCAGATTTGCCTAATGCAATACTTTGTTTGATTTCTTGACTGCTGTTTCCTTGATTGTTGATAGTCCATCTAAGAAGAATTAAGTCCTTGACATCTTCAATCTTTTCTCCTTTGATAAGAATGTTGTTTATTGGTCCAGTGGTGAGGATTTTTGTTTTCTTGACATTGA